CCCCCTCAGAACTCACTAACAGTATGTCGTATGACTACCAAATTTTCAGAGGATGGTGTACTAGTAAAAATTTATCATATCTACAATTTTTTTGTCATTATGACGTAATATGACGTCATTATGGCGTCATTAATGTGTTTTTATTGGCCAAAACCGTCTAGATAGGCTATTCCCTGAAAACTAAATGGTATACAACATAACTTTACCAAAAGTGTTTATGACAGAATATTAGGGTGTACTTAGTCTTATGTTGCCCATAGCAACGCCGGTGACGTCATAAAATGACGTCATACATATTAAAGATATCCGCCATCTTGGATCATCAATGTTGAATTTTCAAAAATAGTTTTTTTTTTCGTGATAAAGCCTAAAATACATTGTAAACATACTAAAGAACTTCATTTAAACCTTTTTTGGAAAAAGAAATGGAAGTATTGATGAAATTTTAAGGAAAATAACCTGTATATACCTGTTCTAATGATATGGTCCGCCATCTTGGATTTTGGCCAATGACGTCATCAAATTAGCATAAATTATGCATATTTAATGATAAAATTTACATAAAATTACATGGGATGTTATTAATATTAGAAACCATGAGTAACTTGACATAAAACCCATAAAATTCTATTGTTGAAACAAAAATTACTAAATTTAGCAAAAAATGCCTGTCAGAAACCCGTTGCCATGGCAACACAAAAAATCATTATCTTATTCCAATGATAGAGAATTGTTGCCAACAATATTTTAGGAAAAGTCACCAAGTTTGGTAGTTCTAGCCCTAGCCGTTCAGATGCTATGTGACCTCAAAGTTGGCGCGGGCACTTTTACGCCCCCCCCCCGGTCTAGATAGGGTTAAGACTCAGGGGACGTAATATTTTTAAGGGTCATAAAATCAATGCGCGGATGTTATAAATACAGTTAAATCGGTGTGGCCTTTTAGTGTCTGTATTTGTTACTAGTGCTTTTTAATTAAACTTTTGCTAGTGTGGACAATCCTACTTTCAAGTCCATCGATGTGG